TAAAAAAACATTGGGAATCACTGAACTAGAAGATATTGCATGTGGTAATAATGATATATTTTTAAATAAATAAACCACATTCTCGTTCTGCATACTGGGTCACATCCAAAAGCCCTTGACACAAGACCTTTCTGAGTTTGAAACCCCCATTACAAGAAGCTGTTTGCAGTCATTCTAACACCCACTGCTGACTAATTTAGCAGCCCCGGCAATGCACATTAGCCCATGCAGCTAACATCTCATCCAAAGTGCCTCTCTGGCTCTCGCTCCTGGCGGTGAAACGCCTTCCAGCATCAGCTCCACAGCATCGCTGCTGCAGCAGCAAAATAACTCTGGGGGTTGTTGGGAGGGTGGTGGGATTTAGCTATTATATGTTTTCATGGTCTGCTAATGAGTAGATGATGTTATATAAATATGGAACCAATGAAACACCCTCAAAACCACCACAATGTCAATGCCCGCTCTAGATGGATTTTAAATGAAACCAATACCCGTTTGCTGAACGAGCACACTCAGCAGTAGTTTGGTTTTAAGGGGGAAGATAAAAAAAACAAACATATATTGCTGAACTCGGTTAAGAACAACTAGAATATTTTGCGAGACCTACGACCAAGACTGAGTGCAAATACCAACGAGTCCAAGACAATATAAAAACTGTTTCAAGTACTACAGCGCTGGTGCTTTAAAAATGGAGCTGATAAATAAAATAAAAGCGTAGACAGTAGGGATTATTAACAATGCAATTAGCAGCTCTCCAGTGACCCTAAGGTGATTGTCTCAGTAAGGCTAAACCATCAAAGAAGGACATGTGAGTGCTTTCTTGTGTAGACTCGGTTTTAAACACCGAACAGTGTCTCAGCTGGATCATTTTGTTCATTTTAAACTGTTCTGCTCAGTAAACATGTCTGACCAATGTAGGTGAACATTTGTCTTTTTTGTGCACGTTGTTTTAGGGGGAAAGTAGAGCAAGATGAACACCTGGTCTCATTAGAGTTCCTGGTTCATGACAACTGTGTGCGTGTGTGAATTTTATATAACTCACCAGTTTAAATTATATCAAGGCTTAAAGTTATACATAATGAAGGTTTTGTAATGCTAAACCTGCTCACCTGCTGAAGCTGGCGTACCAATGCTGAGGCCTTGCTGCAGCAGCCACAGGTTCAACTCCAACCTGTGGCTCTTTGCTGTCGTCCCTTCCTGTCACTCTGTAGCTGTCACTATTGATTAAAGGCAATAAAAAACCCCAAAATGTCTTTAAAAACAAATATGTATATAGATAGATAGATAGATAGATAAATAGATAAATAGATAGAGTAGATAGATAGATAGATAGATAGATAGATAGATAGATAGATAGATAAATGAAGGAATTTGACATGTTGTTTTTATTGTTGGACTGAGCCAGGCGGACCAGTTAGACTAATGCTAAATGATGATATGAATAAAGAACAGTTGTTTTTCCTCTGCTTCCAGCTAAGCTAAGCTGATCACATCACATCCTGGCTCTGGCTTCACGTACAGATATGAGAGCGGTATTGATCTTCTTATCTAACTCCTGGCTAGAATATAGATTACCTCTTAGGTGAAATTACATTAGGTCCTTCACATGTGTGGAAGAATGAATGCACTACGAATATGGTATTTGTGAATGGAACGTGGTTTAGAGTGACTCATTTGCACGTTACCATCACTTAGCGCGTCACTCTTTAAGTACACCGTAGTAATAAACAGACTCTGTGGAGCAGCAAGACATTAGACGTTTTGACCTTGGCTCCATTGTGTGTTAATCGTGTTAGGGTAAGCCTAATTACTCAAGGAGTCACAGACTTTACAGCCCAGAGCCGAGCTCCTTATCCACTCCGAGGCTCTTCAGAAAGGCTGCAGTATGTTGTTCCTGTCAGTGGTTCCTGTGGGGGGGAGAAAGTGACAGGATCCCATAAAGATTGGGCAGGGTGAGTGCTGGGTCAGAGCTGGAACAGCTGGAACAGAAACAAAGTAAAGAACTTTTCAGGAAGCCTGTTTCTACTGCGTCAGCTTGACTAGTATCAAATATTCAGATCCCCAAAAGCACTCCAAATCCTCGCCACCTGGTGTAAGGACGGCAGAGTTCAACGGATGGTGAAACGAAGGGGTCGTGTAGGGTTGTAGTGTTGGCTGCTGACAGTGGAATTTACATCATCGCAGCAGCAGAGCAGCGGACCTCTTCAGAAAAATAAATTCTCTGGCTGAAGCTGCATCAACAAAAGAACAATGTAGCCTCTTCATCCAGATCTCGTCTGTTTAGCAATAACAAAAAATGTCCCGAAAGAAAAAAGAAATCACTTTAAAAGGTCCAGTGTGTAACTCTAGGTAGTAGAGTTTCTCCTACACACTTGGAACGGGAGGGTGAGACGAGGGCGTTTCAACTGGCAACTACCCTGCGGGATGCCACCAAATCCTTCACACTGGACCTTTTATGCCTCATATTAGACAAGAAGGTAATGAGAGTGGTGGGAATACGAGCATTTATCCAAATTTCAAACTATTCTAGCCTACTAATGAAGACAAAGCAAAAAATATAGTAACTAGTAAGATTTCCTTTTATCATCATTAACATGCTGATGTTTGCTAATCAGCACTAAAAGCAAATTGATTTATCCTCCTTGAATATGGCGTGCCATATTTCATGGCACGCCATTTGATAGTTGTTGAGATATCTCATATGTCATACTGTGAGTTCATTATACAACCCCCCCCCAAAAAAAAACAAGGTCATATCAACCAGGTTAATTCAATTCAATACTTAAAATGTAATGCTAATAAATGTTTTAAGCGTAGACAGTAGGGATTATTAACTATGCAATTAGCTGCTCTCCAGTGATCCCAAGGTGACTGCCTCAGTAAGAGTAAACCAACAAACAAGAACATGTGAGTGCTTTCTTGTGTACGCTCGGTTTTAAACACCTCACAGTGTCTCAGCTGGAACATTTTGTTCATTTCAACAGTTCTGCTCAGTAAACATGTCGGGCCAATGAAGGTGAACATTTGTTTTTCTGCGCACGTTGTTTTGGCGGAAAAGTAGGGCAAGATGAGCTGCAGGCTTGTGAAGTGCCCGCCCACTGAATCACAACACACACACACACACACACAGGCAGTCATGGATACATATGAGCTCTAATAATTTAACTGCAATGTCAGGGATCACATCGAGCATTTTATTTGAATCATTTCTTGACCTCGTGTCTGGATGGACAGATTCAAAGGCGTCTGCTCCAACACGTGATGCTTCTCGACATCAAACGATTGGATTTAACATCAGATGACCAGAAACAACAGATCTGAGTGTGTCTGACTGGGGGCAGCCTCTGCTCGGGAGCGGCTGGATGAGACCCGGAGAAATCACTGAGGCTGGTGTTGCTAGGCGATGGGGCTCAGTGCTGCTGACAGAGGCGGGATGAGGGGATCCTGCTGACGAGCACAGGAGCTGACACCCTACTGAAGTCACCCCTAGTTGCCTCACATGTTTCTTTTGGCCAAGATTCACCTAACTTTAATGTCTACTCACACTACCTGTACCAAAGGAACTGTGAATGGTAATTTTACAAGGGACTGTAGATTAAGATAAAAGATTAACATTTTTGTTCACATTTTAAGCCATGCTAGCAGCCCTAAGGACCAGTTTGATCCAGACTGAAATATCTCCACAACTATTTGACGGATTGCTATGGAATTTTGTCCCAAACATTTATTGTCCCCTGAGGATGAATCCCACTGACTTTGGTGATCCCCTCACTTTCCCTCTAGCGCCACCATGAGGTTGACATTTGAGGTTGTGAGTGAAATATCTCGACTACTGTTAGATGGATTGCCATGAAATTTGGTAGAGATGTTCATGTTCCCCTCAGGATGAACCTCGCCACAGATGTACATGTATGCTTAGTGCTCATGAATATTAGCATGTTAAAATGCTAAACTAAAACGCTGAACATGGTTAACATGCTATAATGGTTAACTGTGAGAAAGTACAGTCTCACAGAGCTGTGTGTGTGTGGCTGTAGACTATTATTGTTTCACATTTATTTTTCAAAATTATACACTTCTAATTTGCCAAAAATGATGTAAATTCTCTGAAGAAATTCATTTTTATAAAACAAATTATTATGTTTACGTTTAATTTTGACAAATTTAATCTGATAATGAAGGTTAATTAAACAGTAAGTGGCTGCGGCTGACGAGGTACAGCGGGTCGTCCATTAGTTGTAGTGGTTGGTGGTGAGCCACAATGTTCCCTCATTTAAATGAACATGCACACTGTAGCTTAGTTTGGGTCAATTCCACATACACCATCCTGGTGCCGTGATTACTCACTATAGCACCCAGTGTACATTAATCTGACACAGAAAATAATCCCAAATAAATGCACAATTTACTCCTGTTTGAGTAATGTTTACTATAATAATCCAAACAAAGATGGTAGCCGAAAATGCCATGTCGTTGCACAACCCAAGGAGAATCCGGATGGAAGGTAGTCGCTTGGGAATCATTAATTGTCATTACTTGACACAATCAGAATGACTACAAATGTCTTTTTAGAGAACAAAGGAAGAGACAGCCCCGACAGCTGTTAAAACATCGATAGCAGAGGATGGTTTCGATCCATCGACCTCTGGGTTATGGGCCCAGCACGCTTCCGCTGCGCCACTCTGCTAGTAGCACCCCAGATGGGACTCAAACCCACAATCCCTGGTTTAGGAGGCCAGTGCCTTATCCATTAGGCCACTGGGGCTCGACACATCTGATAACGGCAGGCAGTTCTAAACACATACAATGAGTTCCACTGCAACACAAAAACATAGGAACATACACCATCCTGGTGCTGTGAATACTCACTATAGCACCCAATGTGTATTAATCCGACACTGAAAATAACCCCAAACAAAAGCACTATTTACTCCTGTTTGAGTAACGTTTACTATAAATCTACTGACAGTAAGAAAGTACAAAATAAAGACAAAATGACAAACATTCAACAGTTTTTATACAGGATACTGAACAACATTCACTGTAAAAAGGAAACATCCAGCAGAAAGGCTCTGCTCTGTTCTTTCACATGATGTTTATGGCAGGAACTTGTCTCCTAACACAATGCTGCCACCATGTGGTCATCTCTGACAGGAGCACCTTAATCTGCTGAGATATTGAAGACGATACAGTCTTCTAGGTGTCAGGAGCTCAAGTTGCACGCTTCTTTCTTTTTCTTGTCTTTAACTCTGTTGAACACAAAAACAAATAATGTTTAACATCAAAGAACGGAGAGACCCTTGAAGCTGTGAGGAAATGGACTGACAGTTAAAAACTTACTGACTGAAGCCTTCCTGGTGTCACTGTGATGAGGAGCAGCTGCTTCATCGGTTGTGACTGCAGGCTTCGATGCCCGTAACAGATATTTAGGTACATGCTGAGACACAGAAACAAAAATCATCAGCACAGAAGAAGCTAAATGTAGACAGCAGTACCTAGTGTTATGGCTGGATGGTGCCTTATATATCAGTATATTCATGTGAATGTGTGCCCACTGATTTACACAATTTACAACATGATGTGAATTATGCATTTTGAAGGAAACAAACCCAATTTCATAAGTAAGAATAAAAACTAAATCCATCGTGTATCGTCACTTTAAGGAATCTGACCCACTAAATGCAACATGGAATAATAAACACTAATTCTCATAATGCACCATTAACTGCCTCTTAGCACTTTATCTCATCCCTATTCTTATTGTTGCACTTCTTATGATCTTCACTTTTTACTGTATTCTGTAAAGATCTGAACTGAACTGATCTCAAAGTATGAAAAGAGGTCTTTTGTTTAATATTTTGATATTGACAGATTTGAGATACAGATATCTGAACTCAGGGTATCTTCTGATATAGATTCCCGATCCAATACACCATTTATGTATATATATATATAACAGAAACACTGAATTCAGCTGTGACATTGACGGAGAATCTGTATTTAATTCAGGGTTTCTGCAGGTTTCAACAGGTAAAATTTAACACCTTTTTAAGACCAAAATTAAGGTTGGTTCCACTTTGGTTATTATTACAACTTAATCAATACAAATCTTTCCCAAAAACATATTTAAAAGATGCAATTTTATAATTTTTTTTATTAAGTTAAAGCGAAAAATGGATTTTAGACTTTTTATGACCACATGGACACCCTGAAATTGACTGTACCTGGCTGATGTCCAATCTGCTTTATAGTATTAACCCTGACACTGATCTAAATGTATCGGATTCAAGCGTTCCTCCTTTTGTTTATTTTACAGAAAGAAGTACTAAATACCCTTGCTTTTATGTGTTTCCATGTCCAAAGTGGGCAATAATGTGACTGACTGCAAGCTAATCATTGAAACACCACTGAGAAGATGCTCCCAGCCACAAAGTGCTTGAGCAACAGAGGACAGTAGTACAAGTCTTTGTTGTGTAAAAACGCACACCGGCGACACAAAGATGTCCTCGAGTGAGTAAACAAAGCGCTGCCTCCTCTAGCCGGTAACAGCTTTAAAAAGAGCACTTAAAGCCTGGAAGAAAACAAAACAAGCCTCATCTAAAGGCAATGAAAGCAGGAAACCAAGGCTACCTGGCCCCTTGAGCCGTGCCCTGAGACGTAAGAAGTCACAATAGATCAGTATCTACAAGAGGAGAGGCAGCAGCAGTAACCCTTGCAGGTGAACGCACGAGCACCCGCAGCTGCCCCAGTATTTGTGCATCACTTCTAACATTATATGTAAAGCAGGAAATGTGGTTAAATGCCACAGCGACACCCGTACAGTGACAGGGGTTGCCCTGGCACACCGTCTGTAAAGAGACCACAGTCTCTGATAAAAGCTTCAAGAATTCCCCCTTGTCCTACTTACTGGAACACGTTAGTGGCACACTTGAGGTTACTGAAGTGAATAACATGCCTGGGGAGCGTTCATGGCACGCATTACATTTTTAATGTTTAGCATTTTCTGTATTTTACACAGTTTTTGATAAGATCGTACTTCCCCATACTACACAACTTCTACATTTAAAATGTTCTCACGGTGAATTTAACCACCCTTGAGAAGATTCGGACTCAAGGGGAAGAGTGGGGCTGGTTGATAGGGTTGGGTTTGGGGGGGGGGGCAGATGGGTGGGGTACCTCTCACTATGAGTAGTTAATTTGAATAATGTAGCCGTACTATGCTTGTATGCACTTTCATTTCCAATGCATGCTGCAAAACAATACTGTACAGTGGGTTTCGAAAAAAGGTTTGAAGATTATCAAAGGGAGTCATTAATCTAAATGAGAAAAAAAAACAAATGCTTTAAGTGAAAAATAAATAACCTGGTAAGACCCGGAAAGTAGTTTAATAGCTGTTACTAACAGTATTTTTTTAAAGACTTGTTAACCCATCTGGATGAAATAATATTCTGTCTACTGAATCTGTTTCATAATCCAAACAAAGATGGTAGCCGGAAATGCCCTGTCGTCGCACAACCCAAGGAGAGTCCGAATGGAAGGTAGTCGCTTGGGAATCATTAACTCTGGTTACTTGACACATTCAGAATGACTACAAATGTCCTTTCAGAGAGGAGAGGAAGAGAGAGCCCCGACAGCCGTTAAAACATCGATATAGCAGAGGATGGTTTCGATCCATCGACCTCTGGGTTATGGGCCCAGCACGCTTCCGCTGCGCCACTCTGCTGTAAAGCACCCCAGATGGGACTCGAACCCACAATCCCTGGCTTAGGAGGCCAGTGCCTTATCCATTAGGCCACTGGGGCTTAATGGGTTTAATAACGACAGGCAGTTCTACAAACATGCAATGATAAGTACAGTCCCACAGAGCCAGAGAGTGCGGCTGTAGACCATTATTGTTTCACATTTAGTACTGAAAATTATACATACAAAAATAATGTAAATTCTCCCCACACTGCAGATTGATTGGAAGAAATTAATTTTATAAAGCAATCCATTAAGTTTACGTTTAATTTTGACAAATTTAATCTGATAATGAATGTTAATTAAACAGTAAGTGGCTGCGGCTGACGAGGTACAGCGGGTCGTCCATTAGTTGTAGTGGTTGGTGGTGAGCCACAATGTTCCTTCATTTAAATGAACATGCACACTGTAGCTTAGTTTGGGTCAATTCCACATACACCATCCTGGTGCTGTGATTACTCACTATAGCACCCAGTGTATTTTAATCCCACACAGAAAATAATCCCAAATAAATGCACAATTTACTCCTGTTTGAGTAACGTTTACTAAAATAATCCAAACAAAGATGGTAGCCGAAAATGCCATGTCGTTGCACAACCCAAGGAGAATCCGAATGGAAGGTAGTCGCTTGGGAATCATTAATTGTTGTTACACAATCAGAATGACTACAAATGTCTTTTTAGAGAACAAAGGAAGAGACAGCCCCGACAGCTGTTAAAACATCGATAGCAGAGGATGGTTTCGATCCATCGACCTCTGGGTTATGGGCCCAGCACGCTTCCGCTGCGCCACTCTGCTGTAAAGGACCCCAAATGGGACTCAAACCCCCAACCCCTGGCTTAGGAGGCCAGTGCCTTATCCATTAGGCCACTGGGGCTCGACAGGTCTGATAATGAACACATACGATGAGTTCCACTGCCACGAAAAAACATGGGACGCTGCACAATGTGTGGTTTTAAATAACATGAAAATGGCCCCTGACGCTACTGTAGCAGTGAAAGAAAAAACAGAAAGAGGAGGGGGAGAGAGGTGGACACAGTAAAGCTAAAGGAGAACAGCCAGAATGAATTGAAACCACTTGGTGATAGAGGCCACAGGACGAGGATCATTATCTCTGGCTGTACTGTACTGTTGAGATGTTAAAAGTGACTTCAAAACATGGGTTTAATACGTGTCATCCTGTCAACGTCCTGCCAGTAAAACAATGATAGCAGAGGATGGTTTCGATCCATCGACCTCTGGGTTATGGGCCCAGCACGCTTCCGCTGCGCCACTCTGCTGTCAACGTATCCTGTATGCACAGTCGATTGTATCATACTTCATGTCTGGCTACATGGATAGGAAACAAATTTCAGAAACTAATGCAGCAAAAATAATACTTTTTTTATCCAAATGGAGAATCTCTGAGGACTCTGGAAACACCTTCGGAAAAAAGGGATTCTTACCATTCCGACTCTAATGGTAAAACGTGACAGAGGAACAAACTGGGGCTTGTATTTAGCTTGTAATATATATTAGAAGACATCCTAGTGTCAAAAACCTATCATATTGGCAATAATGTTAAAATACTGTGATGTTCGGGTTATATTGGTGAGACATATTGTGTACGTACACATCTTGTAGAGCCAAAATGAGCTCAATACCTGAAACAACAAATGATAACATATTTAGAGTGGGAAGCTCTGCATTTTCATCTCATGCTGTCTGGTAGATAAACAACAGATGATACTCTCTCTGTGTGACGTTAAACTGACCCAGGAGGTCTGGGGGCGAGGATCAGGATCGCTGCTGGCTCTGCTCTGGATCCTCTGGCTGTGTCGTCGTTCGGTCGAGCTGCCGGGGCGATTAATGGTGGAGGGCCGAAGGCGACTGCTGGTAGATGCAGCTTCATGTGCTTCAGCCAGGAGGTCCGTTAGTTCTCCATCACTGATCTCCTCATCCTCCTCCTCCTCCTCCACGATGGAGCCGTCTGTATTTGTACAATTTCACATAAAGAAAAACTAAATTTCTTGTAATAATCCTTCAAATCTATTCTATTCTTTAAAAAGTTTGCTTTTTAATGGTTACTTCCTACTATCACAATATCAGATTTTCACTACACAATTATTGTGGCCAAAAGCATTCACTATAATGATATTATTGCAATATCTCTATATATAATATCAATATTTCATTGTTTAATATCCCAATCAATATTGATATATTGTTAATCATCAAACTACTTTGGCCACTTGTGGTAGAGCCTTCCCAATATTATGTTTTCTCACTGCATCTTTAAAGAATAATATGAGTATTTCTGCATTTTAACGTCTCTCTTTTAGCAGCCCGAGAGAAAGACTACATGCAGTCAGCTCTACTTCCTTTTATTTCCTAGAAATGGATGGATGCATATAGTCTTGTCAGTTATCGTCAGTGTGGTGTAAACTTATTTTTAAAAAATGTTGTTTGTTTTGTCTTCTTTAATTTTTAAACACTGACTACCATAGTTTATTTACATGAACTCATTTTAAATGGACTTGTGATCCTTTAAAGAAGGGCTACCATTTCCACAATCTGTTCTTGAGCAGAACAAAGTGGGTGACGACTTTAGTTGACCACACAGCTTTACCTGTATGCTGAGGAACGACCGCACACTCAGGACAGATCCAGTCTCCTCCGGGGCCGATGTTTAATGACGGTGTCAAGCAGTCCATGTGATACCTGGAACAATAAGTGAAAGTTTGAATGATATTAAACATTAGTTTAAAAATAGACAAAGTCAGTCAAGTACTCAATATAATGCTACTGCTCTGACTACAATGAACACTAGTATGTTCTGATGATTAAAGACCACATTAAGGGCATCTGAGATTAGAATCATGACCAGATGTGCTGGAGGTGTAACTTGAAAGTGCCCCTGTAACTGCTTACCCTGAATCACACTGTGTGCACACTAGCAGTCGGTGTCTGCGGTCGCTGCGTCCACATTCCTCGCAGATAAACGCGCTGCTCTCCTCCTCTTCATCGCCATCATCAGTTGTCTTTGTCTGCGTCCTCACTTGGATCTGCAGCAGCACAAACAGTTCAGCTTCTCAACACTGTCCACATATTTTCTAAATACTTAGATAGAAAAGCTTCCACTGCAAATAATCACCTTCTTTTCAATGTCCCCTCCAGGAGATCGTCTCTGGTGGATGAAAGCAAAACTGATCCGATCCACTGGGCAAGTGTTGGCCGTCTGAGGGAAAGAAATGTTTCAATTTCAAGAAAAACAATTGTCCTTTTATTGGTTATAAAGTTTAGCTTTGACATAACGTGTTTTATCATGTGATTCAGATTCTATATATGAGAGATACTCTCATTGAATGTATCCCAGTGGAGGCTCATGCATCTCACTCCAAGTAATGATTATTTTCATTATCACATTATTTGATGGTTATTTTTGATGAATCCATTAATCGTTATGCCTTACATTAGCTTCACATAGCTTCAAGAGGCCCAGGGTGGCGTCTAAAGATGACTTATGTCTACTGTAAACTGCAAATATATCACATTTACAATTATATAAAACAGAGAAAATCAGAAAATGTTCAAATCTGAGAAGCAGTTTTGCTTAATAAATGACTGAAGAGAGAAAAAAAGCTGAATAACTGTCAAAAGACTCACCATTCAGCTCTAACCTCAAATGCATTTTAAAAGATATTAAATGATGTTCATGTGACTGCATCTGCTGCTGTGTCTTTAAATCTTCTGCTCAAAACAAAGATCTATTTAATGTTGGACAATTACACTTTTTGTTTTGAAAACTCCCACATATTGACATATATCTTGCAAACTATTAATATCGAGTATAGTAAGTTATAATACAGAGAAAAATTAAAAGTATCTGACATATTGTGAGTGCCAGGTGAAGTGTAGGTTTACCTGGGACCATTGGAGAATACATTCAAGGCAAAACACATGCTGACAGCTCTCCAGAGAGGCCACTGCTCGCTTGTCAAAGGGACTCAGGCAGATATAACATTTATCCGAGTGTGGTATGAAATCAGCTGTGGACTCCTCCATATCTGTAATATTAACTTAGGTAGCAAGCTATCTTCTTAACGTTCACGTTAAGTTACAGGCTGTTGTTAGCTGACGTTAGAGAGTACAGCCCTTTAGTCAATTTAGTCATACATTATTGAGCTTTGAGCATATTTCATATAAAATACTTATAATTAGTATGTCAACTAAAAAAAAAACCTGCTGCTTTTAATTTGGTTCCACGTTCCGCGCTACACCACACACTTCCTCTCCGGGTCCTTCAAAATAAAAGCATCGACTTGCACGAAAAACTATTTTTGCTTAAAATAAAAATGGATTTGTGAAAAGAGTATCTAAAATATTACTACAAACTACAAAATCTGGATTACCAACAAGGTACTTTATTTTTCTGTGTGATTTTTGTGTGATTTGTATATTTTATGCACCAATGCACCAGGACACATTCCTTGTAGGTGTAAAGACCTACTTGGCAATAAATCTAATTCTGATTCTGATTCTGGTCAAATTGATAAACTAAAGCACAATACCAGCTGTTATGACAAGGTCCTGCTTTATTATCTGATCTTGAGGCCTTGTCTCTTGGAGGATCCATGTATCATAATCTAGTTTTCATTATTTTAGCTCATACACATTACTTGCACATTATTAAGATATTTTGTGTACACACAGGTTATTATCTTGTTTGCACAAGATTTGGATCCTGTGCACACAAAGTAAATCTAATATCTAATATATATTCTTCATATCTTGCATGAAAATCCCTTAGTTTAAGATATACTCTTAACTAATACAAATACTTCATTTAGCTCTGCACGCCCATAACTTAAAAACTGCGTAACCTTGTAAATAAGAACCTCAAACATGTAAGGCCTTATATATAAGAGAAATGTGAAGTATGGTTGACCTCTATGGGCATTTTGTGTGATTTTAACAAACTAAAAACAGAAAAGTACACTCATCAAAAAGATAATGTAAAATGCTGAAAATGTATATGCCCCAGAATGATTAAAGTTGTGTTCTGTCCAAAACTTTATCTCTAAAGAGACTTTAAGTTTTTATCTATTTTTATGCAATCTTTGAAGGTCTGGACCCAGATGACTTTTCTCATGAACTGGAGAGCCTCTTTTTCAGGATTGGGTGACATAGGTAGGAAACACTGACACATATAAATAATGTCATATAGGATGTGTAACAGAAAAGAAAAATATCCTCAATAAGGGCACATACATTTCTATTATAAATGCAATATTAACCTTTATTTCTAATTTGGTTGACTGTTTTTGTGTTTGGGTGGTACGGGAATGAGGAAGTTCTGTATTTGTTTTCAAATACATTTTTACTGATGTTAAAATAAATATTACAAGTTTTCAATGAATATACTTATATATCTATATTTCTGCACTGGGGTGTGTGATAAAAGTAGTCATGCTATGGCCTCCTGCACCTCCCTCAACTCTCCACCTACAGTTCACTGAAACAGGAAATTAAGAGGCTTGAACAAAGAGCAGCGTGTTATACACTGACTGTTTTCTGAGAGGAGCAACAAAACACTGCTTTTATCTCACGCGTGTTCGAGATGCAGCGTGGCTTTCTGCATTTGGAGATCAGGGAAAGGAGTCTCTAAGCGACCTGGTAAGTGTGTTTTTTCTCCCATATACTTTTTTTAAACTATATTTAATCTAGTTTTAGATTCTGTTAAGAATTTAAAAATAAAAATCTAAAGCTGTAATTCCTCAAAATGGGGTGAAAACACTTCAACATCGTACAACTGATTTAGTGCTCAGGATTCAAGTATGTTTAAAGTCAATCAGGTGACACATTTCATGTCTCAAATATGCTAGTGAAAGTGTGACTTTCATTGTCAGTTACTTCCAGTTTAGTGGTCTTTTTGTTTCACTTCACCCTTGATTTGAAAGCAGAATAAAAAACAACAACAAAAAAAAGACTGAAAATGTTTTTAACCGAGTAGAAGATTTGTTTCCAAGGTAATGTTAAAGTAAAAGTGGAAAAACTGAGTGAAAACATGTTTGTGTTGCTACAGTCACAGAAACCCTCAACCTGAACCTCATCAACCTACGCCGTCTGACTTTGATTCGACTACACTGACAAAACACTCAAATCTGCAATGACGGACCTCAACTGCAGTGGCCATTCAGAAGAGTACCAGTACTACCTCTTCCCAGCGGTCTACATCCTAGCTTTAGTTCTAGGTTTACCAGGAAATCTGTGTGCCCTCTTCGCCTTCACCTTCAGGACCAGACCTCGCACGGCCTTCAGTGTGTACATCAGCAACTTGGCTGTGTCAGACATCGTCATCCTCTGCACTCTACCCTTTAGGATCGACTATCACCTCAGAGGAAACAACTGGGTCTTTGAGGATGTCGCCTGCCGTATCACCGGGATTCTGTACTTCGCCAACATCTACATGAGCATCTGTTTTATGACTTGCATCTGTGTGGATCGCTACATGGCCACAGTATATCCACACACCTATCTGAGGATGCGGAGCCCCTGGTGCTCTGTGGTGGTGAGTGCGGTGCTGTGGTGTGCTGTTGGAGTGGCTATGCTGGTCTTTATCCTCATGGGACCTCTGGAAACCAATGCAGACAAACCTGGGAGCCACAGCTGCTTTGAGAACTTCGCCCATACTGAGTGGAAGACTCGTTTGGGGACATACAGCCTCCTGTGCCTGACCTTTGGCTCCCTGCTGCCTTCCCTGATCATCCTGGTGTGTTACCCTCTAGCTGCGAGGCGCATTTCAATGATTAAGACTAAAACAGCCCAAAAGGCAGTGAGGGTCATTTACACCATCCTGGCTATAATGCTGTTCTGCTTCCTGCCCAACCATATAGTTTACCTGCTTCACCTCCTCGTACGACTGAAAGTAATCCAGAACTGCTCCGCTATGATCGCCATATACCACGCCAGGCGGGTGACCATGGCGCTCGTCATCCTCAACACATGCCTGGACCCCGTGCTGTACTTTGTCACCACCAGCCACTGCAAATGGAAGCGCCTAAAGATGGCATGGCTGTGGCGGAAAATCAGGAGGCACAGGGGTGTTTATAACGTCACAGTAGACCAAGAGGGTTAACAGCATGTTTACTTGTAAATATAGCTCTGTATATGCTTCATTGTCACTGAAAATGTAACTTCTGTAATGCAAAAATCTGACTTTTCTATAAACATGTTTATTCAAATTGGCTTTGTACATCAAAATAAAGGCAGAAATCAGAATTTGAGCGTCTTATTTTTCTTGCGCTTTATAAATGAGTCCATGAGATGCCGGCAACGTCACCAAAAAAGAATGGGCCATTCGGGGCAGAAGCCTGGATACATTTAGGAAAACTGAATCATTTAAGGATCAATACCCGAACAGTTCATGGGAAGAAAATGCTGTTGAACTTCACAGGTAAGAATTTAAAATTCTCTGCACTGGGAAGTAGTTTTCATCCTCCACAAATCCAGGTCCAGGAGTTCTTTTTTTAGTGTGAATTTCCCTTCAAATGTTCACATTTTGGGACTAAAGATGTTTCAGCACAGTCCAGATGGAAGGCCTTTTTTCAGCAGAGTTGAAAGGAAGCTCCCCAAGTCTTCATCCTGACAAAGAAAACCAGAACATAACATCAAAAAAGACGCAATGTAAGAAATGACACAGCACAAACAATACATAAAAGAACTGGAAGAGGACTAAAAGCAGAGTTCAGTTCTGTGTTTATCAAAGTAGTTCCCCAATTTCTTAAACATGAAGCAGCTGCTACTTTCGACCCCTCGTTTTTTGCATATGTCAGAGCGATTGTTTTGCTTGAATTACTTTTGTAATATTTGACAAAAAAAATATGCAAATTATTATTTAACAGATCCTATTAATCATTTTCATTTCAACTTGTGACCCCAGAATGGTAACTACTGATATACTGCATATTACAGTAAATTACAACTGCAACTAACTGTTCATTATCATTTAATCTACAAATTATTAATAATTATTCTTTTGCAGTGGTTTTGTACAGTGCCTTTCTTCCGATCCCTCAAAGCGCTTTTACAATACATGCCACATTCTCCCATTCACATACATTCATACAGTGATGGAAAACGCTCTTCACAAACAGAAACACACAGACACATTTGTGGTTCAGTATTTGGCTCAAGGACACTGTCGACACAGTAATTGTGTGGTCTATAATGTCTGAAAACTGTGAAAATGTTTTTTATTTTAATCCAACCTTCAAAATTTTTTTTTTTTCGGTCCAAATTATATATATTCAGTGCACAACGATATAGAAGACATAAAAGCAGAACATTATTATATTCGAGAAGCTGAAATCATTTCATTCTAATCCTTACAGTATTGCATTGCATTTCACTGCACATTTTGCTTGCGTGTGATAAACAAATAAACCCATGAGGCCATGACAATCGATAATCTTACAAATGTGTTTAGTGATCTTCCCGTCAAAAACTAAAGTATAGTCAACTAGGATTTAAGTTTTGTGGCAATCAAAACACTTTATGGAGAGAAGTTCAGATGGAAAGGATGTTACAAGGCAAAAATAGACATATCTTTTGTCGTCTTGCTCTTGAGCATGGAACACATTAAGCCACATAAACCACCCTCCTTCCATTGCGCAGTGAGTGCAACAGAAAGGTTACACCCTCTACTCTCATCTTATTGTCACTTTCAAAGCCCCCTTCTCTTATACTGTCCACCCACAAGTGCTTTCACTTCTATGGCTCATCAAACCTCGTGGGCATGTAAAAAAACCAGAGAAGTGTGGCCCAACTGGATTTCACCAAACAATGCAAACAGGAAACACTGTGGGCAGGGTTTTAATCATTATACAAGTTGTACAATATACAGCTTCTACTTCATCATCGCTCCTTCTCTGCTGCTTGATTTATTTAAGGACATTTGAGGACACAAACTGTCTCTGCAGAAGTCAATACAACTTTATGATTTTTGGGGAAACACAATTTTGAATCAGTGATGATTCTGTGAGCTGCAACAATTTCTGTAGTAAAATCTTAATAATAAAGATAATGCAACAAATCAGGAAGACAGGACTACAACTTTTACTTTGAACACAATCATGGCTGGATATCACTCAACTACCATGCAGGATATATCAAATTAATTAAAATCTATTATAGGGTTTGTTTATCTATTCTCTCCGTATTTAAAATTACAGCAGAGCAAATAATATTTGAGAGGCGAGTTTATATTGTTATGGTGTATTCGGGTGGTAATGC